GGCCCCTCAGGTAACACCAAACCTTGGAACAACCCTTGGAGCAGGCACTGCAGGAGGGCTGAGCTGGTGATGGGAGGCCAGATGACCCATCCCTACCACACTGGTGTTCCTGGAAGAAGGGATTCTACACTCCCTGTCTGGTGTTGGGCAGCAGCTGCTGCCTGCAGGAGCAGCTGATACTGAAGGGATGGCTTAAAAAGCAAATTCCAGTGGTTGGAGAGTGAGCAGCAAACCCTCCCTTGTCTCTGCTCTGCATCCCAGGGCCTGATTCCTTCTGTTGTGCTGGGATCTTTGGGAACCAGGCTGCTAAGGAGGCTTCATTTTCTGCTCAGTACTGTTACTGCCACAGTACCTGTGTTACCTGCTGTTTGCTTTCCAAGATGAAGAAGGAATTAATTGCTTTAAAACTTTTAAATAGATCAAGTTAGTTGGCTCAACAAAAATAATCCCTTCGTACTTCCACTCTCTGTGAGTAGTGGGTGTAAGTGGTTAACCTGAGAAACTGTATCAATTTTAAATCTTCAGTAGCTGCTGTAACTTAAACTGTAAATAAATCCAGTTTTGTCTTCATTGGGTTTTGTGTGATTTGCTGGGTTTTTTTGCCAGATATAAAACCATTGGGTATTGAGTCTCAGTGGCCCTGGTAGGAGTGAATGGAGAGGTTTGTGGTGTGGGATGTTGGACTCTTGAATGTCTTTGTTTGACAAAAGTGAGCAGGGGGTTGTATCCTCACTTGCTGTGATTGGTTTTGGGGTTCCTGTGATGACAGGCACTTCATATAACACATGCTTCTAGAATTTTCTGGGAGAATATATTCTTTAGCAATTTTAGGGCTGTTTTTTCCTCAGCCCAGAGGTGGATTTTGTAGCAATGGAATTTTTTTTGGTTTATGTTAATAATTGATACCTGAATTGCAAAGTGAGCTGCATTTTGACAAAAATTTCCAAGGTTCTTATTTTCTCCCATTCTAGAATTCAAAACCAGTGTCAGTTCAGGTCTCAGCTGCTGGGGGATTTGGCCTTGTTGAGAAATTCTTTGGTTTTAGATTAAAATCCACTTTAAAAAGAAACAGCCCAGTGGGGTGTGTGAGCCTGAGCCTCTCCTGCCTTCAAATCCTGGGTGACCTGTGTGCCTGCAAGTTGGGGTTCTCTGCAGTCAGACTGTGAAGGACAAGGAATAAGGTGTTCTTATTTGGCAGAGAAACAGGAACTTTCTGTACTTCCTTAATAATTAGAAATAATGAAGGTAGGAATGAAAGCAATTTTGGGTTAGCATATACTGACATGTTTGAATCTGTGAATGAATTTTATCTTCTGTCTACTCAGTGCTCTGCTGAGAGTGGTTTAGACTGTGAAAGCAGGAATTAGTCATGGAGAGAAATCCCTGAGCAAGTGAAATGTGAGGACAATGACAGAACAGTGTGTGTGGGGAGGTCCTGTAAAAATGAACTGAAGAAGCTTTGGAGTGATGGTGACAAGAGGCAGGAGTGTTGAACCCTGAGTTCTGTGGTGTCTGTGTTGTGTGTATTGGTGGAAAAGCTCAGTCTTGCTGCACTGAGATCATGCCAGAAGCCTGGAAGGACAGTCCTGTTCCCTCAGACAAAGAACTCAGCACCTAAAATGGGCTTGGTTTTACTTGTTGGTCGAGGGTTGTTTGCTGAGGTTGCATCTTCACACGTTGTGCCCTGAGTGGTCTTGGTCATCACTTGTTCCTGACAAGTGTGGCACCAGCTGCTGCCTTGCAGATGTTGATGAGAAATGGACGTGACCAGGACATGGACATGGAGGTGCTACTCCCAGGGGCTGAGGCTGGTGCTGGTGGGTTGTCCTTGGCAGCTTCAGGACAACCTAAATTCTCCACATGGGGCAAGGCTGGGGGCTGCTTCCCAGCAGGTCCCTGCTGCTTCTTCCAGAGGCTCCTTTGGATTTCCCAGGGTGTTCTCCTGGTCTGGGAAGCAGTAGGAGGGGAAGGCTGGGAGCAGTGAGGAGTAAAATCTTACTTGGTGGTAAGACAGTTCAGTGCCTTGTCTGCTCTGAGAAGACCTCTCCCTGGGAGACCTGCAGCTCGCTGCTGGTGCCACTGGAGGGAAACCACAGCACAGGACATGAGCTTGGAGACCGGTGAGGCAGGGAGAGGAGGGCTTGGAGGTGGAAATCCTGCTGGGGGCTGTGAGATGCTGTCACATCCAGCCAGGCTGAAGGACGTACCTCAGAAGGTAGGAGTGATTTGCTGGGTCAAATATTATTGCACCATTTCCCCACACACACACTAGAACAGTTTTCTAGCTGAGCTTTTTGCATCTTCTGGAGTTGCTCTGGTTTTGGAGACAGTTCCTACCTGGGAATACTCTGTTAGTGAGAGAGGGCAGAGGAATGATGTTAAAAAATATCCCTGTGCAACTCCCATTACCTGTTAGGAGAGTGTTTATGCTGCAGCTTCTCAGACATCCTGCCCTGGTGTCCCCTGCCCTGTGCTCACCCCTCTGCTCCTTCCCAGTCCCCAGAGCTGAGCCCCGTGCTGACCACACGTTCCATGGAGCAGGTTGCTCAAGGATCACTTCTCCCAAGGGACTGAGCACCCGTTTCCACTCCCCATTTTCCAAAGAACAGTTCAGAGGCCTCCGTGTCACTGGATCTTTCCTGATCTCAGTGTGGGCCTCCAAAATGTGTTTAGAGTCCTGCTTCCTCCCACCCTGCCCAGCAGTGAAGCTGCTTCCAATGAAGCCTTGAAAGGGAGGGTCTCCAGGAGCCAGCTGTCAGGATGTGCTGCAGATGGTCAGCTAGTTGGATTTACAAGAAGACAGAGCACATTATTTGTCAAGACCAGAAAGTGAAAACAAGAATTATTTTAGCAAAAAAAAAAAATAAAAATCTCAATTGTTTTAAGCATTTAGAGGAATTGATCCACGGGGAGTGCTCAGGGAGAGGAAAGCCTCTCATGGGCACTCCCTGCTGATTTTGGGAAGCAAATGACACATGAGTTACATTAAGGAAGTAGATATTAGTCTCCTTTTATTGCCCCTGCCTTGCAGTGTTATGACTGTACCTGAAATGCTGTCTCCAGCTTTAGTGGTGTGTCATTGAAGAACTTTTCCTGCCATCCTTCCCAAATAAAGCTGGAAGAATTTAGGAGACACACCAAAAATAACAAAGCAACTGTTGCATCAGGAAAGAGATGAGCAGTGGCTCTGCTTGAAGAAGTGGCCACTGAGTGAGGAAATTTTTTGCATTTCAGATTTTTTCTCTAAAGATGAGTGAGAAACCTGATTTTCCAAGAGTGGTTCTGAGCAGCAGAAGCTTTCAAAACCCAAAGGCTTTAGGAAGCATGAGATGATGCCCTGCCTGAGGAACTGAGATCAGAGCCATGAGAACATGATGCTGAATTCCTTCTCTAAACTACCTCTGCAGGTCAGAGTCAATAATGAGTCAAACAGTCATTTTCCAGCACTCAGGCAGTGACCTCCCAAACCCATCCTGACTAAAAGAACAAAGGTTGGTTGAAGGTCCTTGTTCTACCAGACACTTATTTCCATAGATGAGGTTGCCTGGAGAAACCCTTTCTGTCCCACTGACCTTGTATTTCACTTTAGGAATATTAATCTGATAATTTCTTGTCATGGTTATGTTAACTGAAGGTAAGTACTACATGATGGGGTGGGAGGAGCTGCATGTGTGGGGTGTCCTGGTGGGTTGTGTCCTTCCCAGCTGTTATTGTGGCTGGGATATGGGACTGCCAGCAGGTGCCATCCAGGATGTGCCACTGGAGTTGGCTTCATGCATCTCATGGGTTCCTCCATCCACTGGCAGCACAGGGAGGGCTGGCAATGTGGTTTGGGGTTTTCTTTCAACCGAAGCAGAACATTGGGGGAGAGAGGGAGGAAAAGCTGTCCCTATTCAGTTTGAATAATCCCTTAGCAAACACTGCGGTGTGACTGCTCATCAAAAGTTTGCAGAAGGCTGGATGACCTAGTTTCTGTTGCAGCTTCTTGAAAAAGTTGAGGTATGTGAGCAAGAAGGCTGATACCAGGCTGGAGAACCCTGTGAAAGCCAGAGGTTCTTCCTGCCAGGAAAGGCAAGGCTGCCCCTTTTGTGCCCAGGCTGCCCTGGGACACACTGAACCTCAGGCTAAAGGGCTCTGGCTTTAATTCACACTAGGGGTGAGTTTCACCCCAAAGAAATACCCTCAAGAGGATTTGGCCCAGCCCCAGGAGAGTGCAGGGAGATCAGCTGATAGATTCAGTCACTGAGGTGATGCACAGAGGGAGCAAAGCTCCAGTAACCCTTGGCTCAGGGGTTGTGTCAAAATGTGTTCCCAGTCACCAGGGTTACTCTGGGAGGTGCTGTGACTGAGAAACACCAACAGCAGAGTTAAAACCTGTCCTGGATGACCTGTGAAGCTCAGCCCATCACTTGCTGGGGCAGAGGACAACATGCTGTGTGTGTGGTCTGGGCTGGACTCTTAATAAATGCCTGCTCAGAGTCTCAGCTGGAATGAAATGCTGCCTCCTCCTCTGGGGTTGCTGCAGGAGCAGGGGAGGCTGGTAGGGACAAGCTCTTAATTCTTCCCCAAGCACAAGCATCCCTGTGCCTGTTCCAGGTACAGCCCCCACTCCTTGGAGTGTCTGCATATAACCAGGGTGCTGAGGGTGAGAGATGAGGATGCAAGGAAGCCCAGATTTTGCAAAGGAGAAGGATTAATCCTCTCCAGGATCAGAGTCCAGCCCCACAGCTTGGTCAGGTGAGCAATAACTCAAGCTCCCTGTGGTGCTGGGTGTCCCAAGCATAGAATGGGGGACAGAACTTTGCAAACTCATTTTTTCCTGAAATCTATGAAATGTCTGATGTTTGATACTCAGACCTGCTCAGGGCCTGAGCTGCCCCATGGAGCAGAGGATGGGAATGGGAATGGGAGAGACTTAGACAAAAGCAAATTGTGGCAGCTGCCGGGAAAGCTGCTTTAGAGGATGTTGGGCTGGCTTGTAAAATCTGCCTGTATTCCTTGTGGACATGGAATTCCTTTCTTGTAGCTCCAATAATGGTGGGAAAATTTTCAGAGCCCCGGTGAGGGTCAGGGGAGGGCTGAGCAGATGACAGAGCCTGACCTGGGAGCAGCAAGGTTAGAAACAGCCATTCCATGGGAAAAGACTTGTGGGAGGATGTTTTGGACCCTCTGGTGTGTCCCCATGGTGATGGTTGGGCTGACTGAGTGTGTTTGTGGAGTGGCTGCTCTTTTCAGCCTGGGTTGCTATGGGCTTTGGTTCTGGACAAGCAAGGCTTTGCTGGCTGGTGGTTCTGATCCAGTTTCCTCTTGAGGGATGGTTTGGGTGGTGGGGCTCTACTGGTATTAAAACCCAGTGGTCTTTTCCAGTTTCCAGCCTGCTGCTCAGCATGGTGAGCTGGGGAGCACAGCCCTGCCTGAGGCTGGGGGGCCTGGGACCTGTGGGCTGTGCTGGGGTGGGAGAGGCCACCAGGAGCCATTGGGGTTGTGTGCTGAGCAGCCTTGTGGACATGGAATTCCTTTCTTGTAGCTCCAATAATGGTGGGAAAATTTTCAGAGCCCCGGTGAGGGTCAGGGGAGGGCTGAGCAGATGACAGAGCCTGACCTGGGAGCAGCAAGGTTAGAAACAGCCATTCCATGGGAAAAGACTTGTGGGAGGATGTTTTGGACCCTCTGGTGTGTCCCCATGGTGATGGTTGGGCTGACTGTGTTTGTGGAGTGGCTGCTCTTTTCAGCCTGGGTTGCTATGGGCTTTGGTTCTGGACAAGCAAGGCTTTGCTGGCTGGTGGTTCTGATCCAGTTTCCTCTTGAGGGATGGTTTGGGTGGTGGGGCTCTACTGGTATTAAAACCCAGTGGTCTTTTCCAGTTTCCAGCCTGCTGCTCAGCATGGTGAGCTGGGGAGCACAGCCCTGCCTGAGGCTGGGGGGCCTGGGACCTGTGGGCTGTGCTGGGGTGGGAGAGGCCACCAGGAGCCATTGGGTTTGTGTGCTGAGCAGCAGCCCAGCCTGCAGATGACTCCACCTGCTCTTGCCCTTCTCCCAGCTGGAGATGGCACAAGGTGACACGAACGGGTGTGGGACAAGCCCTGCCAGGTGCCCCCCCCAGTGGGCATCAGGATGTGGTGTCTCTGTAGGTGTGTTTCCTTCCCTTCCATTGACTGGAAAGTTTTAAAACAAGAACAAAGCCAAAGTCTTCTCTCAGCCAGCAGTTTGGGATGGGTGGCAGCTCTTCCCTCCCTCCGTGCCGTGCGGGCTGTTCCCGCCGGGAGAGCGTCTGGGAGGGAGCACAGAGGCAGGCACAGAGGACGCTGAGCTCCTCTGCTGCTGCACCAAAGAGTAGGTCAGTGCCTTCTTGCCACGTGAAGCACTTTTTAGAGCTGCCCTTGGCTTTTCTTGCCTTCAGAGGGAATCCGGGAAGACAAAGTGCAGGAGCCCGGTGTGCGGAGCGGGAACGCGCTGCCGGTGGCTCCGCAGAGCCGGGGACCCCTCGGGGACCCCCCAAGTCCCACCGGAACCCTCTGGGGTCCGGGAGCTACAGCAAAGTGTCACCTGCAGGACACTGGAGTTCCGAGCTCCTCAGCTGCTGGATGTCGTTATCCCGCAACAGGTAACTCTGGTTTCCTGGGGTGACTGAAGCGAGGAGGTGTCATCCTCGGGGCTGCCGAGAGGAGACAAACTCTGAGCCAGATCCCAGGCTGCGTTGCTGAACCCAGACGGGGCTTTAGCAGGGTCAGTGCCCCCCGGTGTGAGCCAGGAGGGGGTCTCACCCCGCAGCCCCCGGGGCAGAGCAGGGGGGGCTGCTCTTGCAAGACCTGGCCCGTCCGGCCTGTGTCTGGGGACAAGCTGTGCCCCCACCAGCGGGGCACCAGTGCTGTTACTGGGAAGTTATGTAGCGTTTACGGCCAGCGAACCGAGCGTGCGAGGGGGAATTTCCCTGCCTTTCCCCAGACAAATAAAAATCCTCACCGCCTCCCTGTCAAACTCGCGCCTGTGCAAATCCCACCTGCCTCCCCGCAGGTAAATCTGCTCTCTAGCCCCGACAGCTCCGGTTCTTCTCTGCCGGAGCAGAACCGGGAGCGACGGCAGCGCCCGGGCGGCAGCAGCGCCGGCCGCGGGGATGCTCGGGCAGCTTCGTGGGGGGCCAGGAAAGGGATGGGGGGGCTTGCGCAAGAGGGGTCTTTCCCGAAGGCTTTGAGCTGTACAGATGCTGCCCGGGTGAGGGGACTGGAGCGGCGGGGCGGGCGCGGTGAGGGCCGAGGGGTGCGGGGCGGGAGCGCTGCCGGGGAGGGGATGGGATGGATGGGGTGGGGGGAGGGATGGGATGGGGGCAGGGCAGCCTGTCCTGGGATGGGAGGGGGCCTGGGGTGCTGGTCACCCACCT